AAAGTGTTTGCAGTGTTTAGTGATCCTGACTACAACATTTTTTTAAAATTGGAGTTCAAATTCTAAACAGCTCTTCACCTGGGAGAGTTGTTTAATTTATCTGATTAAGGTTTGAATAAACCCATTTACTGTACCTCCTATTCACAACCTTAAGGAGTTGGCAATTGAAAGAGACTCTGGGCCAGTTAACAGTCTTCCAATGTCCATATCTGCATCTCCCACACCGCAACACTTTAGTTATTCGTAGGAAGGTTCCACCAACCTTATCCAGCCCTTGACCAGATTGTCATCCCTCAAACCAAGAGGGTTGCAGCTAAAGTAAATATATGTTAAGAGTAAAAATACCCTTCCTATATTGCAATCAAATTGAGGATGTTAGTCTCTGTTTTGAATTATGACAAGAAATTGTAGGAAATCAAGAAGTCACAGAAGGCAGTTCGGTGTAGTTTTGAAGCAAGTTTCTTGCTGAAGGCCCTCCAGGGAGCTAAGCAGGAGGCACCAGCATGCTTTCCTTCCTACCTTCATCTCTAGAGCTCAAGCATTTATAACTCCAGTAGATACAGCGCGAATGACCACCTCTTTTGCATTAAGAGTCACGTAAGGGAAAGGGACATGTTGGGAGAAAAGTTAAACACCAGCACAGCACAGCGATCCTTGCAATGTCACATTTTCACATATCTCTCATAATCCCAGTTTATAACACATATTTATTTTCTACAGAGCCACATGATAAGTATCCTGCTTTTAAACATGTCACAGAAATCTATACATACTACAAAATGATTTTGCTAAATTCTGATCTACTGAATTAAGATCTAATGGTGACTGCTAGTTGCCTTTCAAAGGAAGGTATAAAATAACAGAAAATGCAGATCAGAGAAACACTTTCATGGTGTTTGCAGCAACCAGGCTCCACCACAGGGGTTCTTGAGGCAGCAGCAGAGTGGAGAGAAGGAGAAGAAATATAACAGACTGGAGATTGGAGGAGACAGAGTGACGAAGAGGGCAGAAGTGTGTTATTTTCTGTGCTGCATTTGCTCTGAAAAGCTTATTGCAATGTTGATTAGGTAAGGACATGAAACTGAATACTTGTTTCACAACAGAAACAGAGACATCCATTGTTTAAACAGTAAAAAGATGATGGGGTATCATTTTGACTTTCATCTGTCGTGTATCTCCCCCACATTGAGGGAACTGTGGAATTAATGTGCCACTCTACATTTTTCTAGTGTTCAGTGAGCTGTGGACAGGGGTACCAGAGAAGGCTGGTGTCGTGCAGTGAAGTCCACAGTGGAAAGGACCATTACGAATATGGGTATCAGTCTTCTAACTGTCCTGGAGCTCCACCAGCCAGCATTCAGATCTGCCATTCTGTCAGCTGCCCTGTGGCTCATGCCTGGAGAGTCGGAAACTGGGGACCTGTAGGTGCTTCTTTTGTTTTGCAGATTTCATTAAGTGATTTGTTTTAAAGTGAAAGCTACTTGTGCCGCAGTGTTTTGAGAAGACAATTGGACATTTCCTCTATCAGTTTGTTGGGTTAGAGATGTACTGTAGCCCATTCACTGCATGGATCAAAATTCTAGTATTTCTTAACAGCATGTGAAGGGAATCAATATACATGTTCAAATACCAGCCAAAACATGCTACTGTTTAAGAAGTTCAAGTGTAATGCGCCTTCAGCATGCATAGGCTGCAAAGGTACCAGTAAAGGTTTATTTCATGCTAAAAAGCCTGCTTTTCGGTATGGAATAAACCTTTAATTGTTCCTTCGCTACTGTTTAATACATATTTCACTGTTTGTGAGAGTGCAAACATGCAAACTTGTGATTTGTGTTTTCCTACAGTGCTCAGCCACTTGTGGAGAAGGAGTGGCAGAGAGGACCGTTAGGTGTTTGACTGACGATGGTCAAATTAGTGAGTTGTGTCCACTTGACACAAAGCCAGAGGAGAGACAAACGTGCCACAGTCCCGCCTGTGAGTACTGCCACAGGGCTTCTTTGTGCTCAACAGATTTTTCTGAAGATACTGACTAACAGTAGGCTCTTTAGGAAAGTGAAGAATTCTTTACCTTCTTGGTGATGTTATTTTTTTCTCTCTGCACTTCAGGCGAGTTACCTGGGAGCTGCAGTGAGGTGCAGAGGCTGAATGGTTTAATGGAAGATGGGGAACATTATATCAATATACAAGGAAAAGCACTAAAGGTGGTTTTATTGATTTATAATAATATTGATTTTTGGACAGATCTTCAAAATTAATAACATTTTACATTTTGCTCAGTATTATAGTTACAAGACTTTATATGGCACAAAATACTGAAGTAATGTATAGCTCGTTGGTAGAGATTATTTTAAGGCCCTTGCAAGTGTGTAAAAAATATTGTTAATTTAAGTATAGTTTTACATACTGAATTGCTTGCTTTAGTTACATTTTCATGAAGTTTTTACTGAAACTTTTTTGATAAAAAGAGTAACAGAAACAGGCAACAAAGAACTGAAATTTGAACATATAACTGATAGTTTATCAGTGAAAATATAAAAAAAATATATTATTGTGTTTTGAGCTGCTATGTATTACTGGAGTGTTTAGATTACAATTACATTGTTTTTTCAGCTTAATTGGTATTGGAACAAGTAATAGGTTTATTCCATGCTGAAAAAAAGAAGAAAGAGAACACAACGTTTCGGCCGTGGAGCCTTCTTCAGGACACCTGAAGAAGGCTCCACGGCCGAAACGTTGTGTTCTCTTTCTTCTTTTTTTCAGCATGGAATAAACCTATTACTTGTTCCTTTGCAGCCTACGCATGCTGACGCAGCTACCCACCTTAATTGGTATTGGTCTTACTAATGAAATAAAAACAGTTTGCAGTAAATCAGATTTAGCCATCCACTTTATCAACCAGTGTCCACCATGATATTTCATTACAACTATTATAGATGACTGTTACTATATTGTTCAGATAAATAAACAGCTAACGTGAGGATACCAAATGACCAGCTTTTGTGAAGTTATTGGAATCTGATTTGCATGGCATTATATCTATAAGTGTTTTAAATCCCCTTTTTCTGGCTTAAGTTTTGTTTTTGTTTGGTGTAGATTTACTGTGCAGGAATGCAGACAGGCAGTCCAATGGAGTACATAACACTGGTAGCAGGCGATGCAGAAAATTTTTCTGAAGTCTTTGGCTTTAGGTAAGAATTCCTTTAAGGCTTAGTTCATTTTTTCCGACAAATACATGACATTTGTTTTTTCCAGACATCCTGGCTGATGTGTTTTTGGATTTAGGCTCATGAATCCAACGGAGTGTCCGTATAATGGCAGCAGACGAGAAGATTGCCGTTGTCGGAGAGATTACACTGCAGCCGGTCTCACTACGTTCCGCAAAGTGAGGTTGGATCTCAACAAAATGCAGATTATAAGTAAGTAAATGAGGGCCTAGCCCTACCTATTTACCCTTTATAATTACAGAAGGTACATAACATACATTTTGATCTCCCTGCAACTGTTGAGATTCGATTCCTAGTCTCTTGCGGGCTCTGAACATGCACAGTGCCACTCCCTAGACTGTGGATAACTCCTCCATACCAAAATACTAGCTCCTCTGCCACCGGCAGAGTTTCACACTGTGCAGATTCCAGAGGACGTTCTGTTACTGGTTCAGTGCATGAGCCCTGTTACAGTATGACTCAAAGATTATCTGCCATGTATTATACTGTACATGCCCTAATTTTTCAGACAGAAGACATTTGTCTGTCTTTACAAAGTGATCAAGGAAGAACTGTTAATTGTATTTACATAATCATATAACTGCTGCACAAGTGGAGTGTCAGAACAGCTAAACAGGTAATACAGTAAACACTTGGTTTAATAGACTTCTCATTAACAGACTTTGGATTTAATGGATAAAATCTGCTAGACAGGAATTTTATGTGTAAAATAAGAAATACCAGACTTAACACCAGGTAATGGGGAAATGCACAATAATGCATAAAAAAACAAGAAAAACAAAAATACCATATAATTGTTGTTTGTGTTTTGTGTGCTTTAGTGAATCTTATATAGTATATTTACTAGGCATAAAAATAGAGAGCTTGTATATTTATAATAAAAACAATAACAATAAACAATTTTCATTAACTGTGTTGATGCAAAGTTGCAATAGTGAATCAATAAGTCAAAAGATCCAGAAAGCATGGATACAGTCAATATATATTTTTTCAAATAAAAGTTTTGAGGCTGATTAACAGACTTTCAGCAGTAATGGACACCTTCTCCCCCTGCTAGTCCATTAATCTGAGCATTTACTGCAGTATTTTTTCACCCTGCCCGTGCATAATTTTTTAATTGGGTGATTTTCAAATAACATATAAGTGAACATTATACACACCCAAAGAAGGCTCCACAGCCAAAACGTTGTGTTTTCTTTGTTCTCTTTTCAGCATGGAAAACTTACTTGTTCCTTAGCAAACATTATATTGATCATTGTTGATCTGGTTATTCTTAACATGACGTTCCTTAACGAAAGGGCGAAGAATATAGCCCAAAAACTGAAAACTGAAGATCTAAGAAATGAAATATTCCTTGTGGGCATTACTCAAGTACTGTTGCCTGTAACAATGTGGAACATAGAAAAATTGGCATTTTCACAGTTGATGTTGTACCAAGTTAAAGGTTATGTATTTGAAAAGTTCAGTAAAAATAATACAAGTTATGGAATATATTATAGGAAAATAAAATGATGACTATTTTAAGTACCCTTATGATCTTATGTTAACGTCATCTTCTTTTACTGGGGAAATTTTAAACAGCTAAGAAAATTCTAATCAGTTAAAAATCTAAGCAACCTTAGAAACTATTGTATATTCTTGGCATGTTAATTTAAAGCTGTTAAAGTGTCACAAACAGCAGTACAAAACTCTTCAAACTACTGGAGTAACAGCTGAACAGATGTATTCTTCTGAGAAAGCTACTGAAGTGTCTGTCAAAGACACAGCTGTTAAGGTCCTTCGAGACAGGAGAAAAGGGAAACGTGTAGGGAGGTCTCAGTGGTTCACATCTGGATGAGATACTGTGGTACCATGTCATCCTTCACTGGGCACTTTAACGTATGGCCTTGCAAAATGTAAAAGCTTAACAGCTTAATCACCCTCTTCTGGAAAATTGTATGTTATTACCCTGCCTCCTGTTTTATCACATTTGACCTAAGTAATGGTTTTCATCTTAAATCAAATTCAAATAAATTGGTTGTATACTCTGTTTCCAGACACCTAAGGCTAATAATTGAGAGGAGTTCACATTATATTATCTTGAATAAATATCATCTCTTCAGAACCTACCTTTTAAAACATCGGATTGGCTCAGTGAAGAAATACGAAAATTCAAAATGCTGACAAAATGTAAGTTGTTGATTTATAGTTGTCATCTCAATGTCATGTTCGACTTTGGCAATAATGGGATTAAACTCACCATAAACAACAAAGGCTTACATAAAATGTAAAATCTATATTAAATCGGATAGTATACAGCATGGTCTCATCAGGAGAATTACCTTTTGAGAACCTTTATTTTACATATATATATATTTATTTTATTACCCTTTATTTTAAATTTACCCTTTAAGGACATTCTGTAAAAAAGTCTGATGAAATTTTGTCCTTAACATGTTGAAATGTTTGCAGATAAAGCTTTTCTGCTTGTAAATTGCACATTTTGTGTAAATTATCCAATAAATTTAGGAGTTAACATTGGATAATGCAGAGTAATCATTCAGCCAGTTGACAGTTTAATGACAGACACTGTCAGACTTAGAAACCCAAGAGAGGTAGGGGATTAAGGGACATATTGTACTAGTTAAGAAATTGTGTGTTACAGTGTTGCTTACAGCATGTTCCTTTCTAGTGCTGTTCCACATATTACTGATGCCATCTGTACTGTCACATACAGCCAGGAAGTCTTTTTTTCACTGCCCAAGATGCTCAAAATAAAAAGGACATTCTTATATTGACAGTGCAGGCATTAAATTAAAGCTCAAATGAGTTAATTGATTCAAGATGGGGGGTTTTTTTTGGCTATAGAGCACCAATCAATTAAAGGTCTAGAGCTATATAAGGTAGAGGTTGTTTTAAATTGCCCCGAAATTCTCTAGTACGTCTAATTATATTTAAGTATTTTGAGCACCCTAAAATCAACCAGCGACTAGGGGCTCTTGCAAATTCAGCAGCAAAGGATTTATTTGGGTACTTTAACACTTTACATTGGGACCTTTGCTTTCCCTGATCAAATCATTATTTTGCTTTGCAGCAACAGACTGGCAGTTTGCGTCTACAAATGAGGGTCACCACGTTCCATTCGCCACAGCGGGAGACTGCTACAGTGCGGCCAGGTGTCCACAGGTAAGGGCAAAGGAGGACACAGAAATGTCACGAGAGAAATATCAAGTGTAGTATCGCATGGTAACATGAGATGAAGACTCTTGACAAGTCAAACTAGAGTTAATGTGTGGTAAAACCAATGGAAATCCCTCTAGGTTCTGCACATAATTAATGAGGGTCAAAGTAAAACTTCCAAAACACTTTAAAATGGCTTGGATGTTTTCTACTGTTCTACTTATGAGGAAACCTAATGAAATATATTGAACATGAGGTAAACATGACGATTTTAAGTAGTTCATATGGGTAGCTGTGTCAGCATGCGTAGGCTGCAAAGGAACAAGTAATAGGTTTATTCCATGTTGAAAAGAGAAGAAAGAAAACATTGTTGTGTTTTCTTTTTTCTGTTTTCAGCATGAAGATTTTAATCTGAGTATACTGGTACTACAAAGGCTAATGAATAGACATCTAATTGGTAAAATAACAGATGGTGTAGAAGGGCATCTGTGCTGTATCTGTGCTGTATTTGGGCTGAGAAGCATCAGGAAAACATCCAAGTTCATGGCAAACAGTAGAATTTTCTTCACAGGATGGAATACAGCAGATAGCAGATAAGCTGTTCTGGGGGCTGGACAGTTTCTTCACACTTTGGAAGAATCCACTGAGATTGTCAGTAGATCCTCTTTTTGTCTTCCAATGAGTAACATGGGAAAAGAGACAAGCACTCAGCTGTGGTTTAGTTTGGCCTCCCTTGTGATTCCCTCTGTCTGTTTAGAGCCATAAACAGTGCAATTGTTTTCATTGTGTAATGTCTGCAATTTTTCTTAGGGTTTACTACAGATGATTGACACATGTACAGTAACATTGAAAAACAATTTTCGGGGTGTTGTTGCTAGTACAGTAGAACAGCTTACATCCTAAGCTTTAGCTATACCATATGCAATATGAATCTTAGAAGTGGTGGGAACTCCCTATGATAGAAAACAAAGAACTATACAACAATTAAGACAGTTGAAAGAACTGAGATTGTGCTCCCCTTGTTCCTTTTAATATTGAGCTGCTCTGTATTTGAAACAAAGAAATTCTATCTTCAAAGAATCTGTAATGCATACCTACAGCCATATTTATCACAATTAATCCAGCATCAGTAGCTTTTGTATCGGTTCAACAAAAATAAACCTTTTCAACTAAATAGTCTGTAATTATTTAAATCTTCTGAGGTTATTGTCTTTTAGTAATATGTAAGGTATATCTTTCTTCGCTTGTTTGAAAACTATGACAGCGTGGTCAAACGGTTTCTCTTGTCTTCACAAGTTATCTATTTATCTCACCCTATACACACATACGTAGAGACCTTTTGTTGCACACCTTTTGCATGTTGTTGTATTTTATTATTGACTTTATTTATTGTTATTTACTTGTTCTGTTTTAAAAACCTTTTAAATTTGTTTAAAAATATTGAAAGTGTAAATGCATGTTGAACTAATATTAAGTCCTCATTAATAACTCTTTTGATTGTGCTGTTTTGTGTTGCTTAGACTAAAGGGCGTAAATACAAAAAGAAGAACTAACAATGTTTTTAAATCACAAAACATTTTCTGCAATGTCAAAGCATAAAGATCTCCAAATTGGAATTTTCTGACTGAAAGACAGCACTGCTGCCCTCTAATGGATTTAATGGAAAACATCAATCACTTTGTTCTGGAGGTATTTGAATTAACGGTCAGTGACAAAAGTTGGAACAAAATCCTTGTTTGCCCTTTCATTTTAAGGGTCGATTCAGTATTAACCTGTCAGGAACAGGATTTCATGTGGCTGAAGACACCAAATGGGTTTCCCAAGGCAACTATCCTATTGCTGACATACATAAATCGCAGGTGAGACATAGTGTTCTGCATTTCTGTGTTTTTCAGTGACATACTATTAATGGAAGTTAACAGACATTGTGTATTAACTAGATCCCAGTTTAACCAACACGTAATTCCAATTCATTGTCCTCTATATAAAACTTATTTGATCATGAGGCTAAGGTTAATTACTATTATTAAATTATCTGCGTGTGTGTACCCAGCATTGGTCTGCTAATTGTGTCCTTGGCTTGAGGAATAGGCTCTGGGTTTTTCTGGGTTGTCACAGTCTTTACCAGGAATAAGTGGGTTTTAGATAATACGTGGACAGATGACTAGTTGTGACTATTTTATACTACATCTTTACGCTGTTGAAAAGAATGTTGTTAAGTGTCTTATTCAACAACATGCAAAATAAATGTACAACCATATATCACTTAGATAAACTGCAGGACTGAAATGTAAGAACACAAGGAAAGTTAGAGATAAGAAGTGGCTCCTTAGTCAGAAAATCTTTAAATTTGGATAAAGAATCAGCAAAAAAGAAGTATATTGTAGAAATCCATATTAAAAGATGCTACTAGGTATAATCTATTCCCAGGACTACTGCTTCTGCTTTGGCTCAGCAAACCCTAACTCAACTTCTTAAAATCACTTCCTTGGACTAATAAAATAAGCAAGCACAAAATTCTAAATGTTGGAGATCGTGTTAAAAATAATTGTTTTTAAGAACACACTCATACAGAATGGTCATGTGCATCTCTTTTGGACAGCCATGAACTGTGTTCCTAAAAGGTCATTTGACTGATCATGTTGCTGTTGTGTAGGGGAAAGATATCGATGTCTAAAATGGGGATGGACAGTTCAGGACCTGTAAGGCCTAGCGAGTCTACAGGTTTTAATCAGTCCATTGCTGGCAGTTTAACAATATCTGTGAGCTCTTTAGGGGCTGGTGCTTTGACGGGACCTAGAAACACTGCTGACACACTGACCCTCCAAGACCAGGAAAGTTGAATGAAAGCACACTCAATAGCTGAAGACAAAATCTGTGTTTAAACAGGTTTGGCCAAATTCCTGCCACTCTTTTCTCTGGGGCTGCTTTGTGAAAGACTGGAATCAAAAAGGTCCTTTTCACCGGTTCAAGGGCTCAGGGAGTTGTGCCTCACAAGGCTGTAGTGTTGTTTCTAGGCAGGCAACCAAGCCTGTTCATTTTCTGAGACATTCCTTTCCAGTGCCTTAAATATCTTCATTGAAGGGCACTTGGCGTAATGAGCTGCAAAAGAAAACTGTTCCACAATCTGTCTTTATGTTGTAAATCAGGAGAATCTTGCTTTTGGCAGGAGAAGAGAAAAGCACCTTAAGGCACTATATACTCAAGCAGTTTTGAAGTGTGTAGAGATAAAAAAAAAGTTATTTCACGATAAGTCCTTTGAAGGGCACTTACTAAAAAGCTCATTCAGGCCCATTAAAATACTAAGATTTTTCTGATAAAAATAAAAACATAGTTTTTAAAAAATAAAAATAAAAAAATATATATTTTTAAGTGGTAGAATATCTACAAGGTGATGGATCACATGTAACCCTGCAGTGCAGTCCAGGAGTGGCCAGACAGATTGGCCCAGCCAACCTCCCTCCCAGCCTGATGTGTTTATTTTGGCAGCATTCACTGATTATGTGGACTGGTGAGAAAGGGCTATTTCTATATATTAGCTTGCTGGTTGCTACGATTAACTATTAAAATTTGATTTAGCAAATTTAACAAAAAATAGGTAGTGTAATTGTTATTAATTGTCACCCTTTTAATTAATATTTTAGTGCTTATTATCATTTTAATGTTTGAATATATTGACAAACGTAGATTATTAGTGTAAATATGACATTTCCTTAAAGAATAACAACATACATGAAGTGGTGGCTCTGGCTCTATTTGAATATAGTCTGGGTACCTTCTATGAGAGAGTTTGCTCTCCCTGTGTCCATGTATGTTTTTCAAGATGCTCCAGTTGTCTCCACCCTTCCTATAACATGCTGTTAGATGTTGTTGGGGTCCCTGAATTGAGTATTTACTCTTTGCTGGTGTTCCATGTTGTTCAGTTCTTCTGGGATACACTCCAAGTTGTCACAGGAAATAAGTGTCTCCCTGATAATGGATGGATGGACATGAAGAGAGCATGTTTTACATTTGTGTAAAGCACTGCTAATACCCGATGGAGGTCAAAGACATGACCATCTAACACATGTCAGATGACATTTGACACAGACAAGTGTTGGGTATTGCATGCATGTGGTAAAATACATCAATTCGAAATATACAAAATGGGAAACTGTGCTGTAAAGAGGCAACTTGAAAAATAAGTTTTATGTTGACATGTAGAATTTCATGTAGAATTACATTGTCTAGACAATCTAGGAAAGCAATTAAAAAGGCAAACAAAATGTTAGGATATTTACTCACAAGTAGAGAAATTAAAGCAGGTGATGTTAAAATTGTGCAAAACACTTCTAAGGCTTCATATTGTTCTGGAATCAGTCCTGAAAACAACCAGATTGATTCCAGGGCTTATTAAGTGTCACTGACAGGCTGAAGGAATTTAATCATTTTAGTCTTGACCAGAGGAGTCAGTGAGGGGACATGGTACTAATGCATACAGTATTCAAAATTAGGTATTGACAAAATCAATGGACTTTAGACAGTAAACAGTAAAACAAAAACAAGACGACACAAGTGAAAACTACACAGAAATACATGTAAAACCAAGAAACAGCAACATTAAATCCTTCGATAAATTAGCATCTAACTACCAGACAGGCTGGATCAGGCCTCCTCTCATTTATAACCTTTGTTAAGATACAACTCTGTAAATGGTTGTGAGTAAGTGTTGCAGAATGCAACGGTACTAGCTGCGATGGTGATGTGATTTCAACAGCTCAGCAGCAGCTGCAGTCTAGCTCCAGCACTGAAGAGGGCCCCAAGCTCCACCCCTTGGTGACAATGGTGCAGATCTGCACCACTGCTTCAGTCTAGCAGGTTTTGTGTGGCTTTGGCTCAAATCTGAGAGAATCGTAAAGGACACAGTGATACAGAATGAAATATTCCATTACAGCTACGTTTAATCTGGCAATCCACCAAAACTTTGTAACATGGATCCCAGCCCATCTGATTATATACAGGGTTAGTGTTGGGCTCTTCTTCATTTTGGGCATGCATAATGAAAAGGAAGAAAAGCAAGATAAAGGTCATATTTGATCATTAGGACTCAAAGAGGGTTCTGGGTTATGATAAATGCATGGATTCGGATAAGGGTTCTGATCAGGTTTAAGGCACATAATATAGGTGTGACTGGAGTTTAAGTCCCATGCAGGGACTGGTTTTAGTGCAAAGGTTACACTGAGGTAAATGTTAAAGTTTGAGTGTTAAGGTGTCCATCTTTAGAGAATAAATACAGCTGTACTGCTAATGTACTTAGAAAACTTGGGGCTGTTGCTGCAATATGTCAATGTGAATGAGGAAGAGTTTAATAATAAGCACCAACGTTTTTGTCTCCACAGGATGGCAGCAGAGTTACAGGAAAATGTGGAGGGTATTGTGGAAAATGCACACCATCTTCTGGATCAGTCTTCCACATTAAAGTGATTTAAATTCAGGAAAATCCAAAGGTTTGCATGTTTGTTTGCTTTTTAGTTTAGTTTTACTTGCCTTCTATTTATTATTAATATTGTATTCTTATACATTGTTTTATGCTTTTACATTATTATTTTAACAGTAAACTATCCAACTCTCGTTTTATTTTTGCAGGTTATCTACAAGAGGTGCTACACAATGAAGACATTTTGAATTACCTCTAGTATCTGTAATGTGTAAATATGGTAAATGAGCAGACTGTATATATTGTGTCTAAATTTTTAATTTATTTATTTGCCTATATTTTTGTATCTGAAAAGGATTTGTGAAGTATATTTTATTCTTTTTTATCAGCACCCTAATTGTGGGCTACAGTAATACTCTACTATATGCAAGAGTTTAATTTCAATCTTGATTTAAGTTTTTACTGGTAAAAAATCCAGTTATCTTTACAACATTTGTTATTGTTTTACTGATGTAATTTTTTTAAGCCATAAGAAAATTGTTTTTTAATAAGCCACTTGCAGCATTTGATTATGTCAGATCAGGAGAGTGATTCCTTTTTGCTGTGACTGTTTAAAGATTTGCACTTATAGTGGCACAGTATTTAAGTCATCTGATGCAGTTGCTGCAATTTTACACCTTTTCTTTGTAAGGAACAAAGGAAATGGCACTGATGACCAGCACACAGTCTTCACTTGTACGTGGATATGCAGCTGCAAACGTGAAATAGTAGGATAGAGGAGAGACACCCAGAAATGACCTTCTAAACCTAAGTTTATGGACCTCAGTGAGAAAACAGGAGAAAGACAGCTGGGGCCTCATTTGCAAAGATGTAGTAAACATCTACAGAACGGGACGTTCAGGTGGGGAGCTGGATCAGCATGTGTTGACTGCAAAGGAGCAAGTAAATGTTAATTCCACACTGGAAAATAGAAGAAACACAATGTTTTAGCTATTAAACTTTCTTCAAATGACACCTGAGGGTACAGCAGCCAGAAACGTTTCTTCTTTCTACTTTTCAGCTTGGAACAAACCTTTACTTATTCATCTACAAAAGAAGCATATCAGCAGGACTCCGTTAGATGTGCGCATGAAATAGAAGTTAGTATTCACAATGGGGTGTGCCCCTCACATAGCTCCATGCAATGGAAATCATTAGCACAGCTATAAGCGTCTCAGTCATGTACCTTAAGCACAAAGCCATATGGGAAGCCATTCCTTAACAGGAGGTACAAGATGATAAACACAAAGACAATGAGCGCTCATGTGTGATGGCTCCTTACATGGGCCCCACCACTCAGGAAGATCATAAAATATTAAAAATAATGTTAACAAGTTATGTATTTGCAGAACAATTCCAGGTTATCAAAGTTCTGAACTTTTTTCTTTCCCTTTACTCTTATAATAGTTATTTTCTGCTAGTGGAAATATGAGAAGGGCAGCAGAGTAGCGGATTAGTCAGTGTTTAAACACAGAGACCCTGAGTTCAATTAAGGACATGAGGTGCAATTTGTTTGCATGGGTTTTCTCTAGGTCCTCTGGTTTCCTCCCATAATCCAAAGAAATACTGGAGGGTTAATTGGCTTCTGGGAAAATTGGCCCTGGTATGAGTGTGTACATATGTGTGTCTATGTGTGCCCTGCAGTGGACTGGCATCACGTCCAGGGTGTATCCTGCCTTTCACCCAATGCTTGCCAAAATAGGCTTTAGCTCCCCAACAATACCACATATTGGATAGAGAAATTAGAAAATGAATAGATAGAAGTATGATGACACCTCTATGTTCAGTTAAATCAGTTCAGTTAAATCTTTTATGTTCACAGCAGCTTTTACTATGACCAGTTGCAGCATGTTGGGAACACATGAAAAACATATAAACTCTATGCAGATAGGACCTCAGACCTGGAATTGAACCCAGGGTCCCAGTACTAACCACTAACCAGCCCAGCGCCGTGCTGCCCTCCTCATACAGTATATCCACTAGCACAAAATATTATAAAAGGAAAAGCGAAAAAGAAAGTTCAGAACTTGACATGGAATATTACTGTAAATACATCTCAGCAATGCAAATATGCGCAGAAATGTGTCTCATTGTGTAGGTAAGACATTTTTGTGAAAGCCACTTGTCACTACAGTTGCTTTACTGTCTATCCTGCAACATGTGTGGAATTAAATACTGTATCTTCTACTTCTTTACATGAATGTGCATTCATGAGTATGACTTTCAAGCACATATTGCTGTGGCCTGAGAATATGGCATGTCATATTGACTTTGTCATACATGCTTCTAGTCCAGGGATATCCATTTAGTACCTTTTGTAATGAAGTTCTTTAGTTCCATAATTGTCCTTAATCATAGAAGGAAGATTGAAGGGAATACCTTTGTTATTGGTGTTTACAATTGGAATCTCTTAACTGTTTGACTGGTGTTTTTTGTAAACTGATTGTTAGAGTTTCTATTTGGTGACCTCAACACTTCTTGTCTGTCCTGTCCCGCTGTAAAGAGAAATGAGATGGTATTTATTACTGAAATTCAAAATGGCTAGGAATGTTGAGAAACAGGTTTAATGAGAACAAAAATATTGAGCTACATTTAGGTTTGGATTTAATTTAGTCTCAAAAGTTCATTGTAGAAAGTGGCAGCTATTTTCCCTGAAATTTGTGTGACTTTCTTTTGAGTTCCTTTCTCATTCACTTCAACCTGTCCAAATACTTCCCACATTATTGACAATTTCAGTGATATGAAATCGAACTTTTATAAGTATTTAACCCATATGTAAATACTCTAGGCTACTAAAAGGGGAGATAGGTGGTGTCATATTGAAGGATGGGCCTTATCTCTCTGAAGCAATAGGAACAGAAAAGGCCTGGAGGCTGGATGGAAGAGATGTTTCTTGAGTGATGAAAAATGGCAAGTGTGAGATCAGAACTTGTTGAGGCTATCCTGGCAGCAGAGTTAAAGAATGAATTGAAAGAACTTTGAAGAACTGGAAATTTAGCCATAGGAAACAAATCACTTCTCATTAATCTGTGGCTGCAGGAAATTTTACCTAAGGAGTTAGAGGACCGTTATTTTGATACTCTTCCTCATTCACATCGACATATTGCAGCAACAGCCCCAAGTTTTCTAAGTACAGCCTCAGACCAAAACTTTATTCAATTTTTAGTGTTTGCTGTATGTTAATAACACACTAAATTTATGATCCTGATAGCACTTAAAGAGGAATGAACATGCTGTGATACAATCTAGACATACAAATGATTATGCTTAAACAAAAAGAAAATGGTTTAAACTGTAGATTTCATTCTGTAGTATCTTTACAAAAATACTATAATGTTTTTTTGGATGGTCATTCGGTGTGAGCCTTGCAAATTGTTGTTTCTTGTGTTAGATATTCATAGCTTTTTGTCCATTTTGTTAAATGGCTCAAGATTTAGAAGCCTAACAAAATCATCAGTGTTTAATAATAAGATTCTGCATATGGTTCTGCAAAGTGCTGTCTTTGTTATTTTTAAACACTAATTCCTTTAATCTTCTGTGGTGGTCCTACTGGGTTTTCTTTTTTGTTATTTTTCTGAACTCAAAAGAAGGGCTATTGGGCTACTTTTCAGAACAGTGAAGCCTTTTGTAAAACTGCATGACACGTTCCTCTTTGTTGTGTAATGGGAATGAAGCACAGCAATTTCTGAATGTTCCTTAGAAACAGGAGTTCTCAAGTTCAACATATATTCTTTATTCGATGCTGTTGGTTTAAGGAGATTGAAAAGCTGTTCTTCACACCTTATTAGAAAAAAGCATAAATACTTTCAAGTGAATTTCAAAACAAACATTCTTTTATGAAGAAAAAAATGTTTTTTTGAAGCAACATTTTTGGTACTTTTTACAATCAGGCTACCTGCTGTATGATGTCTTAAAGCATGTTTAATGCTGATAATTGTATAGATACAAAAAGAAATATAATATTGTATATGTACTTAATATTTTATCTCCTGTATTTTACCTCAGTTTTGAAAATATGACATTACATGCACATCCAGTAAGAGTTGTGGAGCACGAAGAGTGTCTGATGAAGTATATTTTAAAGGGAAATTATAAGGAATGGAAAGCCAAAGACTCGTACACAATTATATTATATATTAGAGATATCAGAGAAAAGTTGCTTTTTAAGTCAGTTTTGTCTTTCTGTTAAACATGTTGCTTTAAACGGAATTGGTAATTGTTTCAATAGGAATATAAAAAGATCAAACTAGTATTTTTAATTTTTTAAATGTATTGGTTTTTTTTATAAGTTAAGTGCAAGAAGTGCCTCAACTACAGATTAGGTTGCTGCACTAATTACATTTCCTGTGGACACTTTAAAGGGATTATTTTAGGACGAGGCTTAGATTTTCTCAGGTCCTGTGAAAAAAAAAGGAAAACGTGGGAAATTGTAGCAACAAATAAAATTGAGAATATTTTACATTCATAGTAATGTACATACAATTCTAAATGTTATCATTCATATTCAGCATAGGAATTTTGAAACCACCAGTGATGACTGAGACCTCCATAGTGCAGTTTCCATAACTGTAATTTTTGCCTGAACAAATGTTTAAATTGCCTGTACATACTGTATGTATAAGTGCCTGTATACTGTATTATATAGTGTCACCAAACTTATCTGTGGTTTATATCAAATGAAATATGTATTTTTACATAAATGACTGTTGCTGTACGTTTTCCCAAGTGAAGGTATAACTTGTCTTATTTTTAAGAGTACAACATTTTCAGGTTTGTTGTAAGACTTAAGATAAGGAAACAAATAATAAAATGGCATTGCTGCTATTAGTCCATGTATTGCAAGATTTATGATTATTTCCTTATCCTGTATATGATGTTGTATGAGTCTGCAATTGCTTTCCAAGTTCTAAGAAGCAAGAAGTGGTGTCAAACCTGCAATTGAAATCACAGATATAAAATCTGTATTAGAATTTGTTAGTGCAATAAAGGAAATGGTAATACAGCAAATTTAATATACACCATTACTGAAGATGACGATTTGTGCAGAAGGCTTAAACGTATAGTATTTACGTTCACATATTGGATTCTTTAACCTTAGAAACAAACTACAACTCAGACTAGTGCTGCTAATCTAATACATTCTGTTTAGAACACATTACATCCCTTGGCTTGATGCCAATAATGGGAGCAAAGTAAAAGCCCATGATGTGTGTCCAGGCTTCTATGACAAGCTAGATCTTTTTTCACGTGTTTTTTATTTGGCATTTCTGGGAGTTGACACAAACAGCATTGTGGTCATGAACAAAGCAGCGGTGAAGCAAATTGTACGTTACTGTGACTCTTCTGAAACACATTTGGTTAAATGATTTCCATGAAGATAGTTGATGTCTACACCCTTGCCCCCTGGATTAATGGGTTCCCACTAATTAATCTCTCCAGCGGGAAAGTAGTGTGGCTAGCACTGCATGCATCACCTGAAGATCTCTATTTCTGTTAATGTTTCTCCACTCTTACTGCAAATTCAAGAAAATTTTGCTATGTGGTGTTTTACTGCACTAGCTAAAATACAGTGAGTTTTTCGACCACTTAGTGCCTTCTATGGGATCTTTTACAAAACTATAGTGCCTGACATTAGTTAGATAATAGCAATATTGATTATTATATATCTTAGTTATTGCTTTGGAAAAATGTGTTTTAAGAGAATGTCTTTACCTTGTCAAGGTTGTGTTTTGTTAACTATTAAACCCAATTGTCTTTCAGCTTTCTTGATTTACTTGAACTTGTTAGAAACCACAAATTGGGGTTCTGTTTTTGTTAACTTGATAGAAAATAATGCATTAGTATCTTTTAAAACAAATATCTTTTTAAAACAAGGAACTGTTGCCTGTCACTATGTTGCATGCTGATTTACAGCCTGCATCTCGCCGTAGTGGAGCACCTCCCCAGACAGTACAGCAGTATATTGCTTTGATAGTAATGAGTTACAAGCCCTATAACCCTCAGTGGGATTGGTGATATTATTTGTGCCAGATTGGTGATAAATCTGATTCCTGATTAGTATGATTCATGAAGGCATTGTTCTTATCAGAGCTTGTACGTGGATTAAATTCAGTACAGCTCAAGTGGGATATTTGTCTCCCTGATTTATGAAAACAATCCAGTAATTCACAATTACTCCGGATTACTCAATTACTCTGGATTGGCATATTCATATATGGTTATTCATCTATAGATTTGAACAAGCTATTTTTTTAAATTGAGAAAATAATATAAATATTGTAACGCAACGGGGGCTCAGGCGGGCGCCCTTGCCGCATCTGGTCGGCCCCATCCCGACTGGAGGCTCGAACCCGGGACTTCCGCGTCTCTCTGCAGCGACCTAGCCCCGTGAGCTAAAGAGAGATCTCTCCACAGCCCAGTAGCTGTGGTCCTGCTAGGGAAGGGCGGTGACGTCACCCGCTCTGGTACGCCAGCTCTTACACACAGTGCTTGTCGGCCGTAAGCGTTACAATATATATGTAAATTAACTAAAAACTGAATGTATGCATTTTTTAAATTATTATTATGTTATGTATTCA